ACCGTTGAATTCAAGTTTGGACTTTAATCGTAACACTATGCAAGATTATTAATGTGACACATATTGCACTTATGACCAAAGCTGCTATAAAAGAGTTACGTCTTTCTTTTGTCCTTCACTTCTCCTTTTTCCCAACTACAATCTTTTAGCAGAGTGCTAAGTACTTTTGAAGGCAAATTTACTAGTAATCACGTCCGAGTAGACTCGCTACGTGCTCCTTCTTCAAATTTACGCTAAACTTCTAGTTCTAATTGCGTACGAGTGCCCAAGTACGGGTTATTGCGATCTTTGGTGTTGTACCCTTTTAAGTATACGTGGAGGTGGATCCTATGTATTCTTCATTTGAATGATGCTGCGTAACCCTCGCAGGTACGTCACTTACAAATTTTCTTTTCAGAATGCGAGTAGCGGTTATTGGTGCTGGTCCCAGTGGTCTTCCAGCTATCAAAAGTGCCGTTGAGGATGGATGTGAGGTAAAAGTAACCGTGGTAGTCACAACTATTTCATTCTTTCTGTAATCCCTAACTGTTCAGGTTGTTTGCTTCGAAATGTCTAACGACATTGGAGGCCTTTGGAGGTATAAGCCAAATGATTGCCCAGGTACGCCAGCGAATCTGTGCTCGAATGATAAAGGTTTAGTTGAACTTTAGAAGTGATGTCCTCTGCCCAACCTCTTCATAACGCATGTTACCTATATTATAAAATGGAAAAAATGTTTTAAAATAGAATGAGACTCTCAAGGACCTGAAAAGAAACACCCAATATTCCCATTTGTAATGCTAATGTTTGAAGCGGTAATTTTGCGAATTAGAGAAAAATTGGCGATGAGTCGAACTGGTCAGTATTTATAATCGAATTAACTACTTTGTTGGTTAAGTCATTTGGCAAGAGTTCTATGGGTCTGTGCCAGAGTTCTTTGTCAAATTAGTTTTATCAATTTCTAAAGAGTGTGAATTTGGAGATAAAAACTCAATTTGTCTCAGTATTCAAGGAAAAAGCGCATTTGAAGGATGGCCATAAAATTTAAAATTTAGCGATCTTCACCTGCTTTTAAATTTTTGCACTGCTCGCAAAAAGCAAACGTGTCATTGTCAAAGTTCAAGGAAAGGGGAAACTGGGATTCACCTAAATTTCTCCCTAAAATTGCTTACATGTACAGCCGGCACTGATAGGTGAGTGAAAGAGTAAAATCCGCTGATTTTGTGCGTTTTTCTCGAGCTGGCTAATTTTTGGCGTATATC